TGTTAGCTCTACCGCTTTCCTGATTCAGGTCAGCTTGACAAAACAAGTCAAGAAAAAACCCTTGCGCTGGGTGATAAATAATTAAGATCTTGGGAGCAATATAGGCCCTCTCACCTGGTCGGATCCCTTCAAATGCCGGTGGGTTTCAGAGGTCGAGGCTCTGAGAGAACACTCTTTTCTGATGCCTTAGACCGAGGAGGGAATCCGTAGGAAGGAAAGCAATTATGCCCATCATGTAGCTTAATAACACAATGGAATGTGGCTGCTAAATGGATGTGAATATATGTGAGTTATTAAAGCAAGGTTATGGATCTGCAGAAAGCAATAACCAAACTCTAAAACATTTATGACAATATTTAACAAGCTAATATTAAACAGACTTTTAAGAAGTTTCAAGCAACTTCGTGTAATGAATGGAATTAACCAAAAGAAACAGCAGCTTCAATGAGTATCAATCCAATCAATCTTTTTCTCATTTTGTGATAATTTATTTGTATTATTCTCTGAGCCACCATGAACATGTGTTTATTTCTGCTTTGATATATTGGAACTCATTACTCAGGTTTTGTTTCTTTTTCTCCTAAATATCCTCTGAAATATTTATGTAATTTTAGGCTTATAGCAATGTTGTTTATAAATCGGTTTGTATTTTATGCCTTCTTTCTTTTTTCTGTTCCGAAGTCCTAGTGAGTTCTAATCTGGGAATCTAATCTTTGTACTTTGCTATTGAGGTAAAAAGGGATCTCAGAGTCGAGAACTTGATCTGGGTTGGGCAATTGAATTGACATTGGCTGCCTGTGCTGTCCGTTTGAGTACTTACGTATCGCATGGAAGCCTGGGACATGCAGTGGTTAAAGCCCGGGGCGGTAACGGTGAGACCAGTGGCTTGAGCACAGCAGTTGCAAGGAGGGAAAAAGACGTGAAGGGCGCTTTAGTAAGCATCATAACCTTGAGAATCCTGTGAGGGAAGTTCGAATCTCTTCTACACGGTAAGTCAGCGTCAGCATTGACACTCTGGCAGTGACCTATGTATCACACAAGTATTGGTAGTATAACTTGACGTTGTTCTCCATTCATGTCATTTACTATTGCTGAGTTCACCAGGGGGTGTTTTTTACCACACCCTTCCTCCTACGCCAAATGGAGTCTCTTATGATTAGTGAAGCTGTAATGAAAGAGACCATTCTGAAATGGAAGGAAGAACTCCAACATTTTCTCAGATACTTCCTCCCACCGTATTAATATCTTTACATTATGACTGCGATCTTTATTAAGCAGTATTGACAAAGACAAACGAGGTTGCTGTACATAAATGTCGTGCGTTACGTCTTTGCCCTTCTTCATAAGGATATGTTCATTTTACTGGAAACATTGGCCTGTGGCAAAATGTAAGCTGAACTTAACTAGTGGTTGTCGATTCAACTCTAAAGCAGTTATAAAATGGTCAAAGGCCAGTTCCTTCTTATAACCCCCAAGTCCTCTACAGTAGTGACTTACAAACAACCACTAATTGTGGTTTAAACAAGCTCAGTGCTATCAAGTCCACTCGGACTCCTAGGGACCCTCTAGGCCAGTCTGTCCCTGGGAGTTTGCAAGTCTGTAACCCTTTACAGGAGTAGAAAGCTTCATCTTGCTCCCAGAAAACTGACTAGTGGTTTTGAACTGCTGACCTTGCCATGAGCAGCCTAACGTAACAACTATGCCACCAGGGCTTAGGTGTGGTTAGTTGTCTTCAAAATAAATAGATAAAGAAAAAGCAAGTGGCACCTTAAAAACTAAAATCGTCTTGTCCTTCCACACCTGAGGGCTCTTAGGCCTTCCTTCCAAGCACTATTTTAGCTTCGCACTCATGCACCTGGATCTAAAATTGGCAGCCATCTGAGACTCACTCCTCTAGGCTCTCTCTGCTCAATCAAGGTGTGGATGCTACCCCAGCAGTGGTCTGTAGTGGCTTAATTATGTTCAATTACGAATGGCATTTCCTCATTCTCGGCTCACCTGAGGGATTCTGGCTGCCCCTTTGTCTGTACCACGTGAAGCAATCATGTGGAGGGATGGCGTCTAACCTCCCCTGACTTTACCAAGGGAGGGCGGGATCAAAGTCCACATCAGCCCCAGGCTGACTTCTATGCGATCGGGCTGACGTCTATCCTCCACATTTCTTTATCAATTCAGAAGCTGACCATCCCTCACAGAACCCGCTGGTTCTCAGCTGTGTTGGATAACATATTGCAATAGGCCCACAGAACTCACAGGCCATACTCATGACTAGGGTTGTAGTAGGGAAATCAGAAGTTGTAATTCAAGAGCAGGAATTGTCAAGACGTAGTTCTTCCCAGTGCCCGTAGGTTGCCTCTCTCTGGTTCTTGGCCTCTAAAGCCACATGGCACCTTGGTCTCTGGGCAATGTTGCAGAGTTTTTTTAGAGCTGCCAAGAAATGGTGAAAGGGCACCCCAATCTGTCATAAGCTTCAGCCTAAAGGCATTTACCTCTAGCATCATGGTTAGCAAATGTAGCTCCCCCACTTGAGAGCTTAGAGGCACCCACTATGAGAATGGACCTCCTGCTCAAAGGTGGGCAGCTTTCCTCCCCAGGGACTTGGACACTTTGGTTCTGCAGCCACCACGCCTCTGCTCCCACGGATGCTGCCTCTTCTCTAGTGTCAGCATTCTGCCCCTGAGTCATGGGGTCCGATGGGTGGGCCTCTCAAGGTCTACAGGATAAGCTGCATCTCAATTCTTCTTTGTTGAAGCTAGGAGATGCCCCATTCATACTTCTGAGGTGGCTCAAGTTATGCCCAGTGGGATGGCAGAATTGCCCCATCCACACTCAGAGTTCCAGTTTTTACCATCACAATGAACCCTGTCCACAATCACTCACAACTGTAGCATATACTCCAGCTATCAGCACCTTCCCCTTCCCTTGCTTCCCACAAAACAGCAAAGCAACCTCACTTCCTTCAAGACAATCCTGACTCACAGTAACCCTCTAGGACAGGTGAGAACTGCCCCTGTGGCTTTCGGAGACTTGAACTCTTTACAGGAGTAGAAAGTCCCTATCTTTTCCCTCAGAGTGATCCGTGCTGTGGAACTTCTGACCTTCAGGTTCACAGCATAATGCATAACCGCTTTGCTATGAGGACTCCTCCTCTTAACCAAGACCAGGATGAAAAAGTTCATTTTGTTGGCGTTATAATGACAATGCCTGGAAGAGCCATAACAAGAAATTCACTTCAACACACCAGTCCACTTGGTACATCAAAAATACATGTTTCTGAAACAGTTTATCGAATGCATTTGGATAAGGTTTCTTCATCCCTCAGGCTAACGTCAACAGGTCTAGTTTGGCTTGAAAGGGACATTATCAGAAAGCCAAGCTTATCTCCGCCTAGTTTCATATTCTCAGCTCCTTCCTTTCTTTCTCCTGAACTTCAGCCTCTTTAAGTTTCCACGATAGATGCCTTCGCATCTAAGACTTTCCACCTGGCATCATCTGTGCCTGGAATATAATTTCTCTCTTTGACCTCTGCAGAGCTCATTACTATTTCTACACCAGTTTGGACTTAATTTTCTGGTTCTCTTGTTTTGACCCCACAAATTAAGATTTTAAAAAGGTCCACATCTTCTCTCAGTCACTGTGCGATTCCCCTAAAGTCACTTGTCACATTGTGTTATGCTTTCCTTTCCACTCATTTTCCCCTCCACCTGACAGAAAGTCCATGAGGGCAGACAGACATCTGTCCTACAGATCATTTTTAGCCAATTCCCTAACCTAAAGCTTGGCAAATGTGCATTGCAAATAAAGATGCGTTGACTGAAACTTAGGAAAACCGTCAAGGAAGATTGTGTGTGTGTGTGTGTGTGAATTTCTACTTGAACTTTACCCTAATAATCTAATTGACCCAAAATTCACACTGCTTGAGTCATTTAATCCCTGCTTTTTGTTTTGGTTTATTTTGTTCATGTATAAAAGAAACATTGCAAGGTGGCTTTCACTACCTCCAGTTTCATGTGAGAACACCAAGACTCAAAATAACTTGTTTATCAGATGCACAATTAGTGGTGAAGTCAAATGTTAAATCCATGGTCCTGACTTTACATTCTGGATTCTATACTTAGAACCCAATGACTCTGGAATCATCTTTTTTCTGAGCAGGTTTCATTTATTGCTTTTCTCTTTATAAATAAAGAGTTCATTTATTTATAGTCGTGTTTCCCAAAGTAGTCAATATTACCCCTGGTGGAGGGGGGAGCCTCTAGACGACCCAGGGCCTGCAAAAGCACATGCCTACTCTTTATCCTGAATTATGGTCTCTCAGACAAACGTTTTTAATTGCTGAGCACATTTTGTTTCCTGAAAACAAGACTGTAGGCCAAATACATTTGAGAATTTAAAATTTAGATAATCATTTATATAACCAGTCAACATGGAATTCCCATATAATTTTGTGGCGTATGATATCCCAGGTAAACCATCTAAATTATCCTTCAGAAGTCAGGTTTGTAGGTCACCTTTCTGCATGCTACTTTCTTGTTGTGAAAAATAAATGGACCCCAAAGGATGGCTCTGAGATTAGGAATCATTAGATTATACCAAACCTCAACACTTAATAGGCACTGAGTCAGTGGTATTGCTGATTCCTTTTACTATGTACAAGCCACTGGCATTGAGTCAGTCCTATGGAATAGAACTGTCCCACTGGACTCCAGATACTTTATACCTTTATGGGTGTAGCCAGCCTGAACTTTCTCCCATGGAACCCAAAGCTAGTGGGTTCTGATCACTGACTTTCAGCACACTGATAACTCACTATGGTTGCTTAAAAATAATGAACTTTTCCGCATTTTCAGAACAATATTTATTTCTGCTGCTACAGTGTAAATAGTGAGGCTTTTTTTGTTTGCCAGCATGACTCCAGTAGGAACACGTGGAGGAAGTTTAGCCTGTTAATGAGCTCGCAGCTTGATTGGAGGGCGACCGAGATAACTGGCTCTTCAAATATCTCTTCAAAGCGAGCTGATTCCTTTTCCTCCCTGGTGATTGGACCAGCAGGCTGCCGGTGGAGCCTTTCACCATGCTCTGCTGCACCTTAAGGCTCCACCACGACCTGCCTTGCTACAGTGCTGCACTGCTGGCCTCTGCTCTGCCTCCACATCTCATCTTCCTGCTGTTACCATCCCACTTTGCCACGTCTGCTTCCTGGGGCTGACTCTGCTTGTCTTCCCCTCAGCAGGCCCCATGCCTCCTGCCAGCAACTTCAGTGCCTGCTTCCTTGACGTTGGACCAGCAGCCAGCTTGAGTTAGAAGAGACTTCACTATCCTATGTGTCCCACAAAAGTGAGTTGGACTGAGTTCTTGGTATTGCTGTGTGGACTAATTAGCTATTGTATTCTGTCTCTCTACCTAAACCTATCCTTGTATAAATATAATCATAAGTGTCCTGGTTTTGTTTCTCTAGAGCAGCGGTTCTGAACCTGTGGGTCACGACCCCTTTTGGGTGGGTTGAACAGACCTTTCACAAGGGTTGCCTGATTCCTAACAGTAGCAAAATTACAGTTATGAAGTAGCAACAGAAATCATTATGTGGTTGGGGAGGTCACCACAACATGAGAATTGTATTAAACTGTCGTGGCATTGGGAAGGTTGAGAACTGCTGCTCTAGAGAACCTTGCCTAACACATATGGGTAATATCGCCTTCTCGGTGGCTTTACCACAGATATCTGCTTGACTATGTGTCCGTTGGGAACATATGCAGTGAAGGATCCGTGGTGGCACTGTCGGGTAAAAACTGCAAGGTCCACAATTCAAATCCACCATTGAGCAGTTACCTGATAGGCCAGCCGGTCAAACTCAGCAGACGCTTGGGAAGGAAAATGAGTGTTTGCTCATAAATCCTAAGGTTCAGTTCTACTCTTTCCTGCATGGGGATTCTATGACTCAGGCAACTTGAAGGTAGCGGTTTCAGATGTGTATCCATCTCTATATTTCCCTTGAAAGGTAAAAATACCTGGTGCTTTTATGAAAACATTGTACCATTACATGGCTACATCATTTTTCATCATACTATATAAGCAATTTTATTATTTCTTAAAATTTCCATTTGTTTGGTATGTAAATCTTCCACTATTTACAAGTGCGGAAGTGGTGGGAAAAGGTAGAGCTGTTTGTCCAGCCTTGGATACTGACAACAAATAGTCTCAAGCCACTGATCTGTATTACGGATGAGTTCAGGTCAGGGAGTAGGTTTTATTCCTTATTACATCATCATGCTCTACAAAATTGACTCAAATATTTGTGAGTAAATGAAAGCATGGATGGAGAACATCTATCAGCATTAATGGTGATCTTACTTTCCTTCTTGTGACCAAGGATCTGACTAAACATAATAGGCTGTTGAAAGTCAGGGGCATATTTTTATTTAGAATACCAATATGTGCACCTCCTGACACATTATTAGTTCCTTTTATTCACATGTGTTATTGTGTGGACGCCAAGCCCTTAGGAACAGAACATCTAGATATGACGGTTGAGACATAGCCAACAATCTGGGGCCCTGTGATGAAAGAACGATGGAAAAGTTCTTGGAAAATCATATTCAAAGTACAATGCATTTGTAGGCATATCCTATTATCAACTGTTGCTACAGAGTAGCTCTCCAGGAGGTCTCCATTGTACAGAGATGAGGAGATAAAACACCTGGGTCTTATACTCTCAGCAACCTTCCACTTTATCCAGGATTTCTCACTTTTTTTTTTCTATTTAAACCATATATACTCGAGTATAAGTCGACCTGAATATCAGCCGAGGCTGATATTTTACCACAAAATCTGCATTAAAAACGTGCTGAAAAACCTTGTAGTCTAAGAGCTTAAGTTCAACACCCAATTTTGGCACTTTCATGTAAGTTCCATGACCCTTGTTTACATTTCAAATGTCTCCTTCACATCCCAGGTTATTGGGAAGATGTGTGAGCAGACACCTACCATGCACCCGTCAGTTTGAAAGGATGAAGAAGTACATAGCAACGTTTTCTACCCTCCCCTCCATGTAGAGCTGCGAGCATTTAGATGCAAGTTATTT